TCGCCACATGGTTGTTAGCCACTGCGCTGAAAACATTGCGCAAATGCTTGTCGAGATGTGCGCGGAATGGGAAATACCGGATGGCTGCCGCAGATACATCGTCACAGATAACGGACGCAACATTCGTGCCGCAGTCAGAAGGCTCCCGTGGACTGAGCGTGCGTGTTTCGCTCACACCCTGCAGCTAGCAATTCACGTTGCAATATCCAACACACCGTCAATTGACCGTCTGTGCAAGAAAGCGAGGCACATCAGCTTGTCTGCGCAAAAGAAATTAGATGAGTACCAGAAGAAGATGGGCAAGGATCCACTTCGTCTGGTGCAAGATGTAGATACGAGGTGGAACAGCCAATACCTAATGCTGTCCCGCCTCTTGGACTTGAAGGAGGCTGTCTCTGTTGAGCTGGCAATGTCAAGTAGCAGCATTGATGGTCTCTGCTCAGCAGAATGGAAAGAGGCTCTTGAATATCTGGACGCACTGAAGCCCTTCTATGATGCAACTGCGATAACTAGCGCAGACAAATACCCATCACTTTCCACTCAGATACAAATTATTTTTGGTAAGCTAAGTTGCCTCAGCAACTTTAGTGGCACAACAGGCTTTCGTAAGGAACTGGCAAGGTCTCCCAATACCAGATTCCCCTTATATATAGAGGACAAAGAAGCATGCTTGGCTATGTTTTTGGACCCACGCTTCAAGTCAACGGTATTCAGAAACAACATGCTCGAACAACAACAAACAAAAGTTGGTGTGGCTGAAAGATCTGGTGCTTCAGGATGTTGCCCTATGCCCTGCTGTGGAAGTCGTGCAGCCATCCTCTGATGCTTGGAGTGCATTTGATAATCTTGCAAATAGTCAAGTAGCAAGTACACCACTGTCTACTTAAGAATGGGAAATTAAAGCATATTCTGAAGAAGCCCTACTGAAGAAAGACAGTGACCCATGTGACTGGTGGCGGACTGTGGGCACCTTCAAATACCCCAGTCTGGCAAAGCTTTGCCCCAAGTACTTGCCCATACCAGCCACTTCAGTTCCAAGCGAGCGTGCCTTTTCAGTGGCAGGGGAGGTTGTCTCTGTTCGGAGGGAGCGCCTCCTGCCTGATCATGTGGAGCAACTCATATTCCTCCATGATAACATGTAGTCATTATGTTTCATGATAACAGCTAGTCATTACTTGCATTGTGTTCCAAATAACAGTGCATGTTGTGTTAACAGACAGGCTGTTGTGTATTTTTAAAAATAAATACATCTTAAATTATTGTTACTGTAGAGGCATTTGTCCTTTGATATTCGATATTCGATTCGATATTCGGACATGAATATTCGTATTCGAATCGTATTCGAAAAATTTCATATTCGCACACCCCTAGTTTTGTTTGTTTTTCTCAGTTTTCTGAAAACATGCTTTTTGGTGACTTTACTAGTTTGTTGGGTCTTGCAATCTTGCAATCTAGAATAGCTAGAGCGATAAATGTTTTTGTTAATGTAAAGCCCAATCTGTGTATTAGAAAGTGCTGAGAGTAGAATTTCCATTTGCTGCCCATATAAATTTAAGGATTAAATTTTTTTGTATGTGATAGCCATGACATGACTCCTCAACTTTCAGCATCTGCAGATTCACAAGTTTTTCTTTAAGGGGAGATGCGAGTCGAAAAATCGCGTTTTTAGCAAAATTTCTCGTATTTCTGATTTTTATTGCATGATAATCTTCAAACCTTCTTCTTTCATCTGTGAAAATTTCAAAAGTAAATTTGACCCGCAAAATGCAAAAAATGTGTATGAAGGCATCGCGGTGGCTCAAAATTTCGTGAATTTGCGCCGATATTGGACATCTTTGACTACGCGCTGCTCCCCGTCGCAGTGCCGCCCGCCATTGCGATCGGTTGGGAAAGTTGCGCCCGGTCTTCTTCTTACAGCTCCGACGACCGCCAGTTTCGTACGTAAGAAAAAAAAAAAAAAGACAGAGAGAGAGAGAGAGAGAGAGAGAGAGAGAGAGAGAAAGGAAAAAAAAAAACCGAGGCCTTTTTATTACGTGGTTTGAGCGGTTTGAAACGCGCGGCACCCTAAGCCGCATCGCCATTGGCTACCGAGTCATTGTCAGCTGTGTTGGTGGCGGCCATCGGCATTTGGTCCATCTGCTTTTCTGCGCGTCTACGCATATTTCCGCGATGACAAGCCCGAAAAAGTGCAACGTGAGACCGCAGAAGTTTCGAACGAAGCACAAGTTCAAGGGAAGGCGGCGTAAAGCTCCCCGAACGACGGCGACGAACGAGAACGCGCCTACGTGTGCTAGGCCTGACGGCGGCATCGACGAGTGCGCGAGCGACAGTGGCTGCGATGAAGGGATTGACGCTGCGCTTTCTTTCGTCAGTGCTTCGGAAAAGAAGCTCGGCTTCTTCGAAAAAGACGAAAGACAGCGCGATGAGGTTTGTCCAACGACAGTTTTGTGCGAAACCCTCTTGCTGACGGCACTTGTGGCAGGTGCGGCATGCCTTGCTTGCGGTATTCAAAAACTTGCCGTTCGGGAGCCGGCAGAAAAGCGCAAGGGACTTTCGTCGCTCCTCGAACTTCATTGCGAAAACAGCGAATGCTCAGCGACTGTTCTTTCGTGCTCCTATACGTCACTGCGTGTTACGGCGGACGGCAGCAGCCGAGTGAGCCAACGGTACGACAGTGGGAGCTCCCGAGATAGTTTCGCTGTAAATGTGAAGGCGGTGGTGGCTGCACGCGCTGTCGGCATTGGGCATGAGCAATTGTCGAGATTTTGCTCCATTATTGGACTCCCAAAGCCAATGCACCACCGAGGATTTTTTTTGATAGCAAAGAAGGTGCACACCGCTGCCATGGCAGCTGTGAGTGAAAACTTGCGCCGATCCAGAGAGTTGACGAAAGAAGTAGCAGGCGAAACTGATGTGGCTGTTATGGTCGACGGCACTTGGCAGAAGAGGGGCCACAAAAGCCACAACGGGATTGGCGCAGTTATCTCCTTAGATACTGGCCTCTGCTTAGACTTCGAGGTCATATCAAATTACTGCCTGACATGCAGTAGGCACAAGGATATGGGCCCAGACAAGGAAGTGTGGCAGGCATTCCATGGCCCAGTCTGTGAAAAAAATGCAGACTGTTCCTCCCATGCCATGGAAACGGAGGCTGCAATGCGCATTTGGCAGAGAACACTGAGTTATGACAGCCCACTGCACTTCATGACATTCTTGAGTGACGGTGACAGCAAAGCATATAGTGCAGTTGCAGAGTCAAAAGTCTATGGTGCTGTCAATATAGAAAAAGAAGACTGCACTAATTATGTGGCCAAGAGACTTGGCACCGCGCTACGGAATCTGCATGTGCCATTACCACGAGGGCAGAAAATGAAAAAGCCAGCCATTCAGAAGCTCCGAACATACTATCAGATTGCCATAACAAGCAACAGGGGGAGTGTACGGGATATGTACACTGCAGTATGGGCTTCGTACTTCCACTCATGCTCTACTGACAATGCTGGCAGCCACAAGTTTTGCCCTGCAGGAATAGAGTCGTGGTGCAAACATCAACGCGCTGAAGCACTTGGTGAACCTGCACCACGCCACACACCTCTCCTGACAAAAGCACAGGCATTGGCTGTTTTGCCCATTTATAAGCGGCTAACGGATGAGAAGCTTCTTGCTCGATGCATCAAAGGGAAAACCCAGAACGCATGGGAATCCCTGAACAGCAAAATTTGGCTACTTTGCCCCAAGACTAAGTTTGTCTCCCGAACGGTTGTCGAGACTGCCGCAGCTATGGCAATCCTGTGGTTCAACAAGGGTCATGCTACTTTCGAGCACATCCTGGAAGAGCTCAACATACTGCCATCTAGAGATCTAGTTACTTTCAGTGATTCCCGCGATGCGAGGTGTATCAAGAGAATGTCCGAGCGTCTGACAGCAGAAGCAAGGGCCCACCGTTGTCGTGGAGTGAAAAGGGCACGGCTAGAAGAGAGTGCTTGCAAGGACCGTGAGGGCACAACCTATGCTGCAGGACAGTTCTAGTAACTTGCAGTGCTTTTCAAAGTTCTGTTGAACATTATGGCCAAAGATTATGCATTTCTAACAACTCTCTGATAAAAAAAAAAAGGTTTCAAACTTTCAAATGCGTTTTTCTCCTTTTGCAGTTTTGTGTGATCTGTGCTTCTTATACACGCTAGTTCGTATACTTAGAATTGTCATACCTCTATGAAATTTGGCACATAGCATGATGAAGGCCCATAGAGTGCAAGTATCTATTCAGATTGTCAGTGCTGCTTGATTATGTTTTTCAAAAATTACATAACTTTGAAAGCCCTTGGCAACTAGAGCCATAGTAAATTTTTCTATTTTATTGTATTTCACCTTTTTACACACAAAATTTATATAGTTTTTTGCACTCTACAGTTCCAAAGGATCATAGTTAGCTATATCTGCATGGTTTATCTCAAATTTTTATAGGTCAGAATTGTTGCATAACAATGGCCATAATTTTGCAGTATCTGACCTGCAGAAAGAAAACCAAGCAATCTACATGAAAATAAATGACATATTTGAAAAGAGGAGAAAAAACTCTATTAGCATGCCAATTTGTGTTAAATTCAGACTCTTATTAAAGAAAATCGTTTTTCGAGTAGCATCTCCCCTTAATTTGAAATCTGCTTGCAGCATTGCACTTATTGCTAATTGGACTGTCTAGCTATACAATAATATTCAATTTGAGATAAGCATTTTCTTTTCTATTGTCTCCAAAAACAACAGAGTGGGGCAGAGGAGTGAACCTACATTCTGAACTTTAAGGTATATCACAGTAACATACAACCAGTGCACACATCTGCTCAGACATTGCTTATATGCAGCTAACAGGGAAAACACTTTTTTACGAGTCTTGCTCTCCTGCCAAGGTTGATTCAGTGACATGCGTAACAGTAAAAAAAATATAATGAATGTAGCAACTGGCCTTTCGCAAGACACTGAGCTTTGGGGGTCAAGCTCACCTCTAGGCACTGTACGTCAGCCGCAGCCGGCTGGGGGGCAGAGTGGTTCTCCTTGGTGGGCGTTTCGGAGGAGGACACCTTCTGGTAGCACTCCTCGCTGGCTGTGTCCGCATCGGCCTCCTCGTCAGACGATATGGAGATGGTCAGGCACTCTGTACGGAAAACAGCAAGCCTATCAGCCCGACACGCACAGGCGACAGAAATGAGATGAGACAGCGTTTTGCACAGCGCCGAAGCTACCGGCAGAATCACATTAAACTAAATGCCTTTGCCAGTTGTTAATGCATAACTATTGGAAGTTCTTCCGAATAATTAACCCTTTCCCTGTCCAGTGCTTCTGGCCCTGACACACCTCTAGTGCTGGTTTTGTTTTGTTTTGGCACTATCAGGCATGCTTGAAACAGAGAAATGAAGCGTTGTGAAGTTAAGATGACAGATAGGGTAGGTACAACCACTTTGATTGCTACTGATAGCAGCAAATGAGCGAGAACAGTGATTGAATCAGGTTTCAGTCTACCGCAGAGGCAACAGCGAGCGCCCATAACATTGAGGCACCGCAAGAGACACGCCACCAGAGAGAGAGAAAGAAAAAAAACGCAAGGCTGTGGGAAGTGGCAGAACAACCGGTGCACCCATAATCTTACACGCACCCCACGGTCCCTTCAAAATAGCGCGCACAGCGATCACGACCCCCAGCAAAGAGTGGTGGACGTGGTCACTCTCTACTTTTCTAAAGACGTACAAACACAGCGAGGAGCAAAAATACATGCTTCTAGATAAATTTGAGAGATAGCAAAAGCAATAGATTAATGCACGATATGCCATTTTTCGCATTTCGGCATGAATTTTTCAACACATGAGGGAGAACATACCAGCGCATTAGTGACAAAACAATGGGAGGAGGGGAGACATGAGAATATAACAGTACGTCAGTGACAGTGCAAGGATTGAGCATGGCTGAATTATTGATTGATGACTACACATGCCAAGAGGCTAACCAGTAAAGAAGAACTAACTCTCCAAGTTCACTTAGTGGTTTTTTTAGATATAAAGTAGACTCTCAGTAAACAGAAATCTGTTAAACAGAACTACTGCTTAAATGGAACTATTGCCTCTGCAATGCTTGGTTTCGGGCTTGCATTTTACACCCATGTTCACCTCTCAGTAAATGGAACTCCTGTTAAATGAAACTTATTTTCCCGGTCCCTTCAGGTTCCGTTTACTGAGAGTCTACTGTATATATATGTGACGTATGAAGCGATGGTTAGGAGAAGTAGATGAGGAAGAAGAAGTCAGAGTAGAATAAACATGGCGTATGAGCCACGCCACGTCGCTCATTCATCATAGCGTCACACGAGTCGACAGGATGGAGACCTGCCTGCCCCTTCATCAGTCACTCATCATCGACGCAGTTCCCCAGAAGTCACCATGACCATACATTGACTACCGAATAATCGCCTAGAAGGACAACGACCAGCACCATGACAGAACCATCGGCTGACCTCGACATCCCCAAGTACACCGGATCAGCGGACGACGGACCCGTACAGGACTGGTTCAACCTATTCGAGGTCCACGCCGCCGCTGCATCCTGGTCGGAACGGGAGATGATCATCAACTTCACGGACTACATCTCCGGTGAGGCATTTAAGTTTTACCTCACCCACATCTTTGAAAATGACGAGTCTTGGCAAAAGATAAAAGAAGAAATGATCACTCGTTTTAGCGGCTATGACCAAGACCTACTTATTGCCAACCATCTCAAGAAAACCCGACACTATCGTCAATTCCCTAAGCAATCATCGAGCATTCGAAAGCCCAACGTGAATCGACAACTGCCACAAGACAAAGTCGCACATGAGTTTACTTACAGAAGACCGTGCGTATTTTGGGAAAAACAAAACCATCGAGCGGGCCTCCCTTCTGCACGAAAGTCGGCATTTTCGAAGTCATCGCTCCAGCACTTGACACGAGACGTTTCTCAACCACCTGATGTCCTTCACTGTTCGTCTTGCATGCGTGGTCCACCACCTCGGTTTTCATCACGCGGTTCTTCAAGCACTCCTAATACTCACCACTTGCCTTATAAGGACGCCGTATTCATGGTAAATGACTTGGCGCATCGGGAAAATACCTTGTCAAGCCACTGCCGTTCCAAAAGCCACTGTACTTCAGGAACGAATAGCTCAACTCTCCCGCAAAGAAACAAACATACGGAATAGCAACCACGTCAAGCCATGTTTGCGGCGATGTCATCCTCGGGAACTGAACCAACCCAAAGTCGAAACAGTATGGAGTCACCATTGAATGCAAGTCTCGTTGACAAAAACGAAAATGCATCTACTGCTTTCCTTGACACAAATGATGCTTGCAATGCACTCGTAAATGACGCTGGGACTACTGACAGCGTCTCCTCCTTCAACGACGATGACCAACCACAATTTTCTCAGTGCCATCACCACACCGAGAAAAGATGACGAACGAAAACTTCAAACCATCCACAGACAACCGCATCCAGTCGTCACAGTCAAAAGCAGCCTTCACGCATTGACCAATCTCCTGCTTTTCCGTCGCGTGGATCTGTAGCTGTGATGGAAAATTTGTAGCTGTGATGGATTACACAAATGATTACCCTTTAGCGACAAGCGCAATCATGTATCGCCGCCATAAGTCAAATCGACGCGCTGAGTTAATTCCCCTCATTTTCGGCACAAAAAATAACTAAACAAAAACACATCACAAATCAAGTAGGGGGGGGGGTCCCAAACGCAAGCGCAAATGTAGGGTTGCGGTCTCATAATGACTTGGAGTGGCCGAACACACGAAGGTAGGGTTTCCCACTAAGGTGAGAGTCTCAAAAGGGGAGCGCAAATGTTCCCGAAATTTTGCATAATCACAACAATAATCGATTTTCGTCAAAACAACGCGTGTAGTCTTCACACGTGAACGGACGGAACGGCACAGCTGGCTGCCGCAAAAGCGCGAGTGAAAGCTTCGACTTTGCTCGCTAGTAGATTCTATGGACAGGAATGCAAAAACCTTTCTAGCCTTTTTTTGCGTCTTTACCGCCTTTCATCCTGTCGCTGCGTCAGCCACGTGCTCTGGGAGCTCGTAGATCGCTATCGCATCGCTGTGACCGCGGTTTTTCTGCGTGGCGGTTTGCGGCAAACGGTAGTTTTATTTTCAATGTACATGGGTTCAAAACTAAGCTTTTTTATGCTATCTATAATCACAACTGCCGTGGTTTTGTCCACAGAGTTTGCGGAAAGCAGGGCTGCTTTGACTAGATGAGCAATAGCCACCCCCACACTTTCGGAGTTTTGTCAGTAATGTCGTCGCCATTCATGATCATGTCGAACGACTGCGGCTTCGTCAACAGCAGTTGTGGCAATGACAACCACACGGACTGTAGAAGACAGTGCGCGCTCTGGTCGCACCCACTGTTCGAAGCTTTAAGCAGACTGCTCTCGATTGGCCTTCGTTAGACGGTTCCTGTACAACAGTTCATATCACCCGCTGCAATTAGGAAAACTGTTCAGAACATTCAAATTTTGGCCCAATGTACACAAATTTGGCTGGGGATTTTCGCGAATTCATATCTGCTGCAGTTTTGCATCACCGAGACTCTTCTGTACATTTAGATGAATGCCTCTTAAATTCGTTTATAATAAAATGTGGTTGGCTCGCAAAAAACCTGGAATAGACTGACCTGCATTTTTGTCAATGTGGCCAGATCTCGCACACGATTTTCGATTTCCGGGAGATTTTCATGGCAATCGTACTAACGTAAGAAACGGTTGAAACCTGGGAGTCTCCCCGACAATGCAGGAGACTTGGCAGGTATGCATATAGAAAAATGTTTGGTGCCGACTTAGCCGATTTTTCGAGACATGCGAGTTCGAGTTAACGAGGTATGTATTACAGTATATATTTTATGAGGCAGGTTTATCAAAGATTAATGCCACGCCCACACAGCTCAGACATACAATCAGAAATTAGGAGAACCTCGAGCTAACTGAGGGGGTTAGCAGGCACATGGCTGAAAACGGCGTAAGGGCCCAAGTAATCAAGACAAGAGGGGTGGGGAACAGCCCTGCCCTTACATGAGCCTACAGAGTAAAACAGCCCTGCCCTTACATGAGCCTACAGAGTAAGTCCTCATGAAACTCCATGAACATACCAGGCTCTCTTTTTGTTCTACGGACAACAGGCACGCTTCGCATGGGCTTGGCCGGCGGCATGGCGGCCACTGCAGAAAGGAGCGGCGGCCGAGCCTGGCCGTTGGTCGTCAGGACCGCTTGTCGCACAGTGAGCACGTTGTTGCTGCTGGCGGTCTGCAGTAGCGGCCTCGTTATGACGTCGTTGCCATAGAAGGTGCGCTTGGTGATCTTCGCTTCGGTCGGCTGCAGTTGCTGACTGCCGGCACCAGATCCGCTGCCGCCGCTTGCCGTCGTTCCTCCATCTAAGTTGAGGCGTCGTTTCGGACCACAAACTCTGCATGCAGGGTAGTGCAAAGTTGTAGACACTTAGCCAGGGGTGCAAATGAGTATGCATTGTATGACAGAATGTTTGTTCTCGATGTACATGATAGGCGCATCTTAAGAACTAGTTTCTACATGTGGACTATAATGCTAGAGACGTCACATGCATTCAGTAACAAGACTCAATGAATTAACTTGGGAAATTCTGAGAACCTTCACTGAGCCAAAATAGCACACATGCAAGACTAATGCCTGCAATCCATGATTTCAAGCTCATGTATTGGTTATATGATTACTGTCATAAAAGAAGAACAGAAACTTCTCGAGCTTTACATAACCAATCAGTTTAGTAGGGCATTGAAAACATTTGACAGAATACCAATATCATGAACTTCAACGCTTCTTTTATTTCAATGTTTCATTTAACGAAACACTAATGCAGCTTAAAGACTGCTTTCTCAGTCTCTATCATGCCGCTGATAGGTCGCTGAAACTCCTCAGAACATGTGAACCAAGCAGGGGTGCAACAGCCAAAATAGAATTTAGAGCAATTTTCGGAGCAGCAAAATGTTACTTTTGGAGCACTAAAATTCGGATTTTTAGCAGGTTATGGCGAAAATAACAAATGTTTATTCATAAAAGACTCAATTTAGAGCAGTATAAAAAATAAGGCTAGCCATTACAAAAAAATAAACACATGTACAAAACATTCAACTAACCAAATCATGCAAAATGAACATGAGCACTGCTATTTCAATAAAGGCAGAATTCTGAACTAGCATTCTGATAGCAAACAATGAAGTCCACATTAGCATTTTTGTGTCTGTCGAATTTTTGACCGACTCTACAAATTCAAATGTGGCTCATGCTGGCAACCTTGACATTCGAGATATTTGTCAAATTAAGAAGTAATGGTGATGACAAAAAAAAAAAAAAAACTGGCGCACAGGTGTCTGTTTTTTATTTTTTAGGGCAGCTGAAATGTCATTCGCTTTGCCGCTACAAATGATTGCCAGTAACTTTTATAGACGTCAGTGATCATACTAGCACTAAAATATGCGGCGTATACACATATGAATAATTGAACAAAATGTGCTGTGTCCCGTGACTGGCGCTAATAGCCCTTTCCAAATCATAATACTCTTTTCCGCAAAACATCGGTGTACAGCAGTGAATGTGGCTTAGCAGCGTTCTGCACGGTTTTGAAAAAGGTCAACCAATTTTCAAACCACTGCCCCCCCCCCTCCAAACCTGCCCCCACTCTTTCCCTTCTCTTTCTCAACAATCGACCACATTCATACTATCAATCAGGTAATAGAGAAATGCTCAGAATATAACCAACCACTATACATAGCCTTCATAGATTACGAGAAGGCGTTTGATTCAGTAGAAATACCAGCCGTCATGCACTGTTTAGGGCATAACTTTTAGGCTCGCTTACAAGGTGTGTTCGACCTGATAAAGCAACAACAATCCGGGCCCGCTGACGGCACCGGATATCTATCGCCGAGACAATTCAAATTCAAGCTTGAAAAATATCTTGCGTGCAGTTGCTGTGAGAACTAACGTGGTGGCTGGCAATGACAGCGTTTGCAGTACGTCGACCTTGTTCGTGCGCGGAAAACCTGGCATACGTTTTTAGTACGCCATAACTGCTTTTGCTGACTAGCAAATTCATATTTCCCATAAAGCATCGATGGCTACAGCAATCTATTTTTTATTTTTGGCATGAAATTTCGCCACTTTATCATACCTTATCTGGTCGATCGCATCTCAGGAGTGTCCTCACCTAACGAGTGTATAACTTACACCGTGGATTAAATAATTGATATGTGGGGTTTAACGTTCCAAAACCACCATATGATTGAGAGACGCCGCAGTGAAGGGCTCTGAAAATTTCCACCACCTGGGGTTCTTTAACGTGCGCCCACATTTCAGAAAACGGGCCTACAGCATTCCGCCTCCATCGAAAATGCAGCCGCCGCAGCCAGGATTGGATCCCGCGACTTGCGGGTCAGCAGCGAAGTGCCTTAGCCACTAGACCACCACGGCTGGGCTTTACACCGCGGCTTAGATTAGGGTCTGTGCGCTTGGTTTGATTGATGACACAAAACACAGGTGGCCAATGTGGCCGCCATTCCTCGAGGAAATCAGCACACCTGAGATAATTTCGAGGCTGGTGGGGCATATTGACGCAGCGCGGCGCAATTTCAGAAAATGTCATGGTTTTGGCGTAGCTGTTGCACCCCTGACCAAGCATTATAAGGCAGCTCGTGGCCTAAAATTGAGAAATAATAATCAAGTCTACTAGAAAACATTCCCCTTTCTCTTGACAAACAATACAAACTGAAATGACAGAGCTATAAAGCCAAAGTCCACCGCCATTGATTGGTTTGAGTATCGTAAGGTCCGGCATAGATACCGTGGCTGCCACATGACTCTGTGTGTGCTTGAATTCACACTGGAAGTGAGTAGTGCATTAGAAGAAACAAAGAAAAGAAAAAGTGTTCAAGGTCGTGAAGCACGCTGACAAAGGGCTTAAGCTTTCAGTCTACCCGCTGGTTTGAAATTAGAGAGAAGGCCCGTGAAGCATGTGACACATCCCTGTAACCCAGCTCATAGTTAACAGATTCTAAAACTCTTTGCTACAGAGATTCGGGAAGCAATTAACTTCTTCAATGTAGACATTCGATGATTACTTGTAAGTGCTGCAGGGCAACGTTATCGGCACGCATGACTTTTGTGCACCATCAGAGAGGACTCACCTTGGCTTGCTCCTGTCGGCGACAGAGATCTGGCGAGAGCAGAAATCACACTTGTTGAGGTCATGGCTGATCTGGCCACAGCGGCTGCACACAACGTACAGGCTGGCATCACTCACCTGGCCTTGCGTGCCCACCACTGTGACCTGAATGAAACAACAAAGGACAAGATAGTCTCACGCCAGACAATTCTCAACGATGAAATGTCACTGCCACAGCAGGAAAAAAGATTAGCTGTTCAATGTTGTAACGGCCCACACACTATGTGAAATCAAACAAAGACTGGTAAGCCAACCTTGGCGCAAGATACCATTGCATGAAAACGATACCCTTAACAGGACCACCAAGGGCCGACCACAATTATCGCTGCAGTGAAAAGTAAATACTATGGCTGTGCAAATAAGAACCTCGTTGATATGTTCCCACTTAAAACAATTTCCCAGCTCTTATGCTCGAAATCGCAAAAACATAACCCCGTAGAGCTACAGTGGAACCCCGTTTATACGACTTTCAGGAGACCATGCAAGACAGTCGTATAACCCGGGTGTCGTATAATCGTAAAACTAAAAGTATAGCAACGACACGCAGCCTTGCCCCAAAAAATGGGCATAGACAGCCTGAATAAGCTCCTGGCACGACCTTGTGCCTCTACTAGAAAGGTAGATTAAATTATTCTTGCCAGTGATAGCTAATGGCAGCCTAACTTAGTTGAAAGAGGTGCGAGCGAATCTTTATTCTCAAGTTGAAAAAGAATTGAATACAACGTGCATCTTTCTACCGATAAATAGAGTCCGAAAATTGCCTCCGCATGAAAACGAAACCGTGTTGCCAATAGCCTCCCGTCAGAAGAGTCACATTGTCATCGCAATCACATAATGGCGACTGACCACAAGCGTGCGTAGAATGCCTTCGTGTGCGATTGATCTATGCACGTCGTAATTTGTGGCCTTGTGAAGTGCAACTAGCGATGTCCCGGTGCTAGTATGAACGTCGGCGTCAAGTGAAAGTAATCTTTCACAGTGAAAACTGCTGCGTCGCGCCCTTATGCGTCCGCAAGCCTGCGACTGCGAGAGCAACAAAGGCAGGAGATCAGCTGTATGTTGATCAGAAAATGTTTCCATGGACCAAAAACATGAAATTATCCGCTTTGCGGGCGGCTGGAGATACTTTGTGTGGATAGAGCTTGACTAGGTAACGACCCCCTAAATATGTGCTCACTCGATTGCGGCGTGTGTAGAAGTGCATTAACTTCCAGGAGAATAAATGTTCCATTTTAGGAAAACATTTGTTTCGCTCTCTACTTTTCTAATAGTCAACCTAGGGGAACAGAAGTTTATATTTCGCACTCGTGAATATTTGGTACACGCTTGATTCGAGTAAAGGCGTTCGTTTCTTTTTTTTTTGACGAAATCTGAACGCAGTCATAAGATGCGGAGTCAGCGTAAAACAGCGTTGTATAACCAAGGTTTTTAACACATTATTCCTATGGGGATTTTGCCGGGGCCTAACCAATTTGTCGTAAAATGAGGGTCGTCGCGAAATCGGGGGACGTATAATCGAAGTTCCACTGTATGTGTTAATACAATCCGCTTAATACGTTCCCGAAAAATACAATTACTTGGCAGCAACATTCGGCACAGTGGCGAACAGCGGTTGTATGATACATTCCGCAGGCACAAATTCTCAATCAGGTGTACAAACACACACAAACACACACAAAAACCTGCTCTCGCGTGCTTGTGAACCGCGTGGCAGACTGCCGCCGCGAAACGACAGCCGTATCTTTGCTGCGTCCAATTGACACCCTCTCTCGCACACTCTGAGCAGTCAGAAGTCTTGAAACGGTTTTCCAAAAATGCCTGTTATTTTCTGTAGCACAGCGGTTTTCACGATTTAGTGTGGCTTTTAATGCTGCCGGATCATCGGTATGCAGTTGTTGCCAGCACTCAATCTACCGAGCCAATTTTCATGCACGTATTGCCCAGAAAATGTGAGCTTCCTCACGTTTTCACTGTCCACACTCTGCTATGGTTGCCCGTGGCCTACCCATGTGGAGGCTGTGCATGGGGCGTCCGCGCTCTGTGCCACAGCGACGACGAGATGGACCATGCCACCCTTAACACAGCCAACGGCGCACGTGGTTCAGATGCTGAGAATGACTGAACTGATATCATAGCCAATGGAGACCAATTTTTACTTTCACACCAATGTCGAGACTTTAGGATGTAGTGACACGTGTCCCGAAGGAGTACGGCCACTAGCGTGGGTCCGATCTTAGCGAGCCGCAGGGCACGCGTTAACCGTCGCCGTGGCGAAAACACGATACTGCTCAAAGGCGCACCACTTTATTGTCTGTGGCAACACCAACTGCAGTACACCCCGTTGCAAAGGCGCTCGCGTTGGCTTCGAAGGGAGACGGGTCGGCGTAGCTAGGCCACGCACTAGGACACCGTACCACCATTTCGGCCTAGCGTTCGGAAGGGGGGGGGGGGGGGGGGAGCAACATAAGGTAAGCGTTCGCTGCGGGCGCAGGGCGCCGTCGGGGAAGTCCGAACAAGCCCTGCAGGAGGCTGACGGACGGAAAAGAAAAGCGTGCTTACCCCAATGTCGTCCCCAGAGAGGTCTCTGGCCCTCTCTCGACGCACGCGCGGCGCCACAGTCAACATCCCAACCAGGTGAAGGGGCTAAACGTCACCCCGCTCCCCCAGCGCGGCAGACAGCGGAGGAGGGTAGACATGTCGGGACATGAGAACGGCAGAAAAGGCGGCAAAGCTCGCGCAAAGGCAGTGGGCTAGCCTCAATTCCCACAAGGAATATGCAGGCCGCGCCATGCTTTCTCTGGCCGGGCCCTGTGCCAGGCTGCATGTTGCTCAGTGTACATAGTTCGTGATTTGAGACAGTTGGGTCTAGCGTGGCGTCGAAGAAGCGCAAGCCTTTGCCAATTCAGAAAAAGCTGAATATCCTTGCGGTTGCCGACAGGACCCTGAAAAGGAAGCAAATTGACATAGCGAACGAACTTTGACTGCCAGCGTCTACTGTGAACACTGTGGTGTCCAAGCAGAAAAAGATCAAGACGAACAGCTGCCCAGTGCATGAACAAGAACAGCAGTGGGCAATTCCTGCTTGCACTTGGCCACCCAAGCCCAGACTTCAGCACCAGCCTAGCGAACACGAATTCTGTTATGGTTCTGTTGCCGGTGCTGTTCTTTGAAAGCTGTCTGCTGATTCGGAGCTAGTATAATCCGTTGCCTACTCGCATGATAGTTATCATTTGAAACTACTGCATGCGAGCTCGGTGGCACGACTGTGAAGTTTAATGTTGCGAGAAAAATTGGATTTTTATTTCACCTAGTCATACACAGCTTTTGCTGTGAAAAAACTTGATGGTGCTACCACACTGATTAGGAACGTTCGACATTCTGGCGCAGTATGCCCAAGGCAGTGATTGCACAGTAACGACTTGATTACATGAAAGAAGAAAAAGCTCATGAGGCAGTATTGATTTGCTCGTTATTGAACAGTGGAGTAGACAGGGGTTGAACAAGTTCGCCTGCTTTTGTTCGGTCAGCCACGAAATGATACGCATAACACAAATGCTGGCTCATACACTAGATGCCTACAAATGGCGACCTTTCTTGTCTCAAGTGCAAGGCACTACTCCCGGGCTGCAAACTTTTCTCTGAGGTGTTCTAATGCTCGCCAATGAGAAAAGTGACAATGACAAGCTTGCAAATTAATAAATGAACATTGTAACTCCAAATATACGACTTTGAGGGGCCACGCAAAACCACCGTATAATAAAAAAAGTAAGAGTATAGACAGCGACACACAGCCTTGCTGCAAAAACAAATATAGACCACATGAGCAGGGCTCACGCTCGTTTACACCACGAAAATTCAAGGGTTTTCATAGACTTTCAAGGCTATGAGTGCGAATATTCAAGGACTACATTGTCCATTAGTTACCAAATGAACACATATTCAGGGGAGAACAAATGCTTGAACTATGTACAATTCATCGTGAAAGCAGCCGACATCAAAAACATGGCTTCAATGACAATTTATTTCTAGACAACTGCCAATCATAGTTTTTTATTGTTACACAGGTCATCCCTTTCAGTATTAAAGAAGTTGCAAGCTTTTATTCAGATAGGAAAAACTAGGGTACAGTTATCAGGCAATGCCTTATTGCTTTTTCTGAATTTTCATAGCAATATCCACTATCTCCTGTTACTTGGTTTTGGCAGTCTTAAGGCTGTTTGACCTGATGATGCATGTTGGGTCACCAAGTGTTTCTGCCTTTTCTGCATACGAGTCTGCTGTAGCTGTTAATTCCTTAACAGCGGCTTCTAGTTTCTTTTTTCTGTAAGCATTTCGACATCCTCAATGCAACTTTTCGTTTTTCTGTTTTCCATCCTCCAGCTTCTGCCTTTTCCGAGTTTCCAGAAATGCACGGTGATGGTTGTTCACAAAAGTTACTGATGTTCAAATTTTTTGTGATGGGCACATTACATGTGCCCCCTGCTACATTTATGATATCATAAATAATACACTGTGAACTGTGCAACAATATTCATTTGGAAGAAAAGTAAATTCAAGCATTTTCAAGGATTTACAAAATTCGAGCACTTTCAAGGCCTTGAAAACAAACTTTTCGAATTCAAGGGTCTTCACGAATTTCAAGGACCCACATGAATAAGCTTAAGGCATGGCCACGTGCTTTTCCAAAAATGGTGGATTAAATTATTTTTGATTAATGGCAGCTCATGGCAGCATTACTTAGTTCAAGGTACGAGTGAATATTTGCTCCCAACTTCGAAGATTCGAATCCAACGTGCTTCTTCCTCTCGATAAATCGAGTCCAAAAACTGTCTACGCTTGCAAATGAAACCCAAGCCACATTGGCAACAGCCTCCAGTAAAAAGAGTCAGACACAGAGTCATTGCCATCATAATGCCGACAGAGCACGAACTTGTGTAGGATGCTTTTCTACACAACTGAGCTGTGCATGCTGTAATTGTTCCCTTGAGAAGAGCATCTGGTGATGTGCCACTGTTATTATGAATGCTGGCGTCAAGTGAATGTTATTTCACATGAAGAGAAAGCTGCATCGCGTCCTTTTGCGTGTTCAAGGCCTGGTACTGCGA